AATCCAACAGCAACAGCTGAGTACATCGGCGACATCTTCGAATTTTGGCTTGGGATGCTTGACCTGGGCATTCAATTCCCTACATTGTTTGGTGGATGGGGGGCAAACCTTGACAGTTGCCTCGCAGGACTGGAAGAGTCATTCTGGCTCTACAGCAGTTCATGTCGACCCACCGACACCATCAACACGAAGCGAAACCGATCCAGGAAAGCATACATCCCGTCAGTCGAAAACGATATGGTGACAGCAGTGCTGAGAGAGGCAGGAATCTTCGATCTACTCCTACAAAAGAAGATCACCAGAATGCCGGTACTCCCTGCAGCCAACTACGATGACCATCCTGAGATGATTGAAGTCTCACCAAGCGATGAGGAGATGGATGAAGTTGATGAGCCTGAAGAGGAAACCACGTCGCCTACGGCGCGAGGCCCTCGAGCAGAACAGACTTCGGGAGAAACTGATGCCGGAGGTGATGACATCGAAATTAAGGAGGATGAAGAGGACGTGGGGGGCCAACCTTCGGAGGCGAAGAAACGCCGAACTGAGGTGCGGAACATCCGTGATCAATTTGAGAAGTTGATTGCCGAAGCATCGAGTGTTCAATATTTTTCATTTGTGGTGGAATGCATGACATTGATGAATGTACCACACCAGATGACGAGAACATGAAGGACACCTTGTGGCGCATGAGGCTGATCATGGACCAAAAGTCAAAATCCCCATCGTCTTCGGAAAGATCCAAAGCTGCGACAAGAGGCAGAAAAGACAAGCTCCCGAAGAACATCATGCCGCAAGGGAAACGGTGGGGAAGAACCAGATTCACTGAGAAGGAGGAAGTGACCAAATGCTTCTATAGTCAGCCAGCCTTCATGTACGACATTGGTGACCGTGAAGAAGGTGGACAATACTTAGTGAATGGCATTGAAGTCAACCCACTTGACCGAGGTGTGAAGAATCGCCATGAGCTTGATGCGCTTGTTGAACGAGCAGCTGAAGAATCCCCGCCTGTGCTGCCGACCATTGAGGAGCTGAACGCTTGGAACCCCAAAGATCATGATGCATATGTAAAATGGCTCACTGAAGAAAGAAAACAGTATGGAGACAACTGGAATTTCAAGTACATCCAACCATTCACACATGGCCACAACATCGGTACACTTCAACTTGCTCGCATCAATGGAGAAGAATATCTTGGATATGGATGGAGTAATGTGAAGCGATTTGGCGAGAACGAGTGGATGGGCAACAAATGGGAAAACCCGCAATGGATAGTCGAATTGTCAAAGAGATTCAATGCAGCGCTACGCCACTCCGTGGGTTGCGCCAGGGACAATCGAAATCACCGTGGACTACCATGCGATGAAGCAGGTTGGGTCAATGTCGAATCGATCTTGAAGTACGACTACATCTGGAGAGATAAACATACATTGGCTGGAACAACCCGCGTTGACTACCCAGTGCTTATTGAGAGATGGAACAATTTCCAGAGAGTGATCTTCACTGAGTACAAGCAGACGAAAAGAATCCGAGCTCAAGTGCTAGGACTCAAAGTCACAAAAGGTGAATTGGAACACATCATGAACAATTTCAATGATGGATTGACCAAGAGACTTGAACGACATACGCTGAGGTTGGAGATCGGCACTGCAGATCGAGAGATATGGCTTTGGCCTGTTGCAATCCGAGCCCCTATGGCACATTCGAGAGTTCAAGGCGGTGTGCACATCGAAGACAGAAAGACTTCTTACCAGATGAACCCAGGAGTCGGATATACTCTTGGAGGAGGATTTCACTGCACTACTTTTGACAACATCGCCCAAATCTTCAGAGAAGGATTACGTCCCGGAGGAGGAGGTGACCGCATCAATACGTTCTTCGTGCCATTCGCACCGTGGGACGTGCGAAGTCAGACGGTGCTGCGATTCAGAAGGATTGATCAAACTGATCTCGTCTACATTTACATCACGTATGAATCCATCGCCAAGTTCTCCCCTCGAGTATCAGCTGACGGACACATCCTGGTCCAAGAGACAATCCCTTTCGACTCATTCGATGCAGTTTGGTACTATGATTGGAAGGAAAAGGATTATTACCGTCTCATGATCACAAAGGGAAAAGATCAGATTGTACTTTCTGTGCAAGGAGCAAGGAAGGTGGCCACCATCGAACGATTTGACAAACTCATTGGGAACATTGTCCCTGATGAATCTTCACTCGATCTGAACGAACTCCGAAAGCTCGTCGACATCAAGACCGGTCACTTCAGTCATTCTCACAGATTATTTCCTGGACATCCGGATTGGAATGATGCAATATCGCTTCTAGCAGTTACTCATCGTCCAAGCAAGGAGGATCATCGACTATGCCCCGCATGTCTGATTGAAACTCCTGCATCGCTATCGATTTGTGTGGTTTGCAAAGGATTTTTGGTCAGTCATGGATGGAGGAAACGAATCAAAATCACCGTGGCTACTGTACCAAATGCCGAATCACGTCCTCGAGAAGAAGATGTCAAAGACCATGTCAAGAAAGCATGGGAGGAAGTCAAAATCGATTTGACAGGTGAAGGAGACGACGATGAACTGATGCAAGATGATGATGATGTCACCATGAAGAGTCCAGAACAAGAACCTCAACAAGAAGAAGAGAATGATGATCAAGCCTCGAAAAAGGATGACATCAATGACGAGAGAAGAGACTTCAGAAAGCAAGATGAAGTCGATGAATTTCTCAATGAGGAACGAGAACAAACCGATGAGAATGACGATGAAGAGAAAGAAGACGGTGAAATCAACATCGAAGAGTACGAGGCCGGAGAAGCTCATGATGCAGTGGTTGAGTACCCCACATGGTTGAAGAGAATCGATTTTGGATCAAAGGTCCTACCAATCGAGCCTTGTACAATTGGAGATGCTCAGCCGGAGCTCATCAAAATCCTTCTGTTACAGATTGGGTTGCATATCCTCAGGATCTACAGACTATTCCAACGGAACTTCTGTGGAGACATTGAAACGGCATGGCAACACTTCCAACAGAACAAGAACTTCAGGATGGATTTAGATTCAAGAGTGCCATACCTAGGTGAGGATGAAAATGGTGAACTCATCGAACCAACTGCACAACAGATGAAAGAGCTATACCAGGAGGTCGGCCGACCAGAACACAGAGACGACATCGGGGAAGAGGGATTCGTCAATGCATACTATGGGGCAATAGTGCTCAAGCGACTGCTCGTCTACACCCTTGAATGCAGTTACACCTATGAAGATTTGAAAAATATCTTTGACGACGACGAAATTGAGAAGCTGTCGAAGAGTGACACATCAAGGGATGAGATGAGGAAAACCGCAGCTGCCCGCGAAGCCCTTGACCGACAAGATGTCATGGTCAGAAGAATCATTGCAGGTGCATACAAAGTGAATGCTGTTTATTTCTTCAGGAACGTCGACTTTCAGGACACAATCACACTGAATCCAGTTGACATAGTGTGTGCTCTTCGACCACCACTTCGAAGAATATCAGTTTTGCATCTGATCCTTCAAAACGGCCGACAACTGCCACGACCTCTACTCCAGAAGCTGTATGATGCGATCGATGACTACAACCATATCAAACAACGAGATGATCAACGACCAAGATGGGGCATCCACATGTCAGAAGCCCACCTGGTCGCAATCGCTGATACCCCGGTTCCTGCCAATCGTGAACGTGCTACCCCGGCAACTGGCAAATCAAAAGCAGCCCCGAAGGCAGCACCGACACTGGGCAGAGTATCGAAAGCGAAGGCATCATCAACGACAACATGGAGAACCGTCGAAGCTGCTCCTCCGCCGAAACAAGCTCCAGTACCTCCGCCACAGAAAGGTGGAAAAGACCAAGGGAAAGGTGAAAGATCTTATTCACACCGCGGTGGCGACTGGAATCATCGAGGATACTATGGATGGGGATACAGACGATAAGTCGACATGACCTCTGCATAGGTCCTGATTGAACCTGGCGAAGCGAAACAGCAATCATTGCTCGTGATTTACCTCTACTTCATTTTGAATGATTTCTGAGAGGAATCTGAGCCGGCTAATTGAGAACCACATTTTTTATAGAGTATCATTGCATGAAACGCTGAGTTTCTACAGCGGTCTACATCTCAACTGACGAAGGAACGGGAAGGTAAACTTCTAGCTCCGTAGTCACCATTATATTTTGATTTTATTTCCATGCTTGAGTGGGATTCCATGTTGGCTACGCCACTTTGGATGAACCTCAATGCTGTACATAGACTACGTCTTGTCAGCGTGCATGTGAACAGACTTTCATTTCGTTTTTGTAGAGATCGTAGCAAGCCGCATCGTAGACTGGAAGTTCTGAATGAACTTTTAACTCTCCATAATTCAATAAATGTATACCTGCAAATGTGACGGAATGATTTAAGGCCACTCCTTTGCGCGTGATCAACGAAGTTGGTCATGCGTGGGGGGTGCGAATGGGAACTAGGCTACGACATGAATATGTTCCCACGTACATAGTCCTTACATTTCCACTGCCAAGGGGACACATTCGTTGCTCCCTTTGGCTCAAGTCACCCAAACTGCAGGTTCCCGTGAAAAGGACTTACATGCCGAAGTTGCAATCCTGTCGTCGTCGTGTGTGTGAAGACTGAGTAACACAATACCCACCAAAAGGACATATCGGAGAAAGAACCTCCGACTCACATATATGATGTGTATATATATATATATCAATGTACATATTGGATTCGGATGGACTGAGAGAGACGGAAATAGATAGATATAGACTATAGACATAAACATAGAGGAGACAGAAGAAATAGAAAGATATAGAGACTGCGAGATTTATTGATTTGTTGATCTATTATATTTGGATTGGATTAGCTTAGAAATTAGATTGGTTTAAGTTTGAGGTTCGGATTGGATTAGTAGATATTAGTAGTACGTAGTAGTATATTCAAATAGCAAGTAGTTCTAGGTTGCTTCTTGGCTCAGGAACGCGCTTCTCGCGCGATTGACCTGCCCCGGAGCTGGGGTTCTGCCTCTGACCCCGACAGTGCCCTGTGGCAAATGGCGGAGTTGGTGCCCGGAGCGGATGCTGTTGCCTTTGCAGTGCATCTTCAGGGAGGAGCCTTCTGCAGATGTTGTTGACTGCCACCAGCTGAAGGTCCATAGAGAGTGGTAGAGGGTACAATGTGGTGCCCCATAGTTAGCCAAGTTCGTTTATAACTTCAATAACTATGGTTTATGGTAGATATGTCTATAGTTAATGGGGTTTATAAACCAATTAGGGGGCTCCACATTGTAGATCATCCAGTTTTTGACCAGCCCATTTTTTCTCGTCAGGATACTATGCCCAGGCGCTCCGTAGTGTGACCAAGACCAGCTGGGTCAACGTCCGAACTGAGGAGCTCATCTTATGCATTCGCTGCGGTTCGCTCTCGCAGCTCTGGTGTAGCAAGGTGCCAGTCGGTGACACATAAAATTCCACCTGGCACATGTTGAAGGACTTTGGAACATGAACATGTATTTGTAAATGTATATATACATACTGTACAGTACACATGCACATGTATAGTGAATAGTATCACAAAAAATATATTTGACACAGCATGGTAGACACAAGGTGCCAGGCAGACTTCAGAACATAGAATGCAAGTGGAATCCCTTGATCGAAAATACCTATATCTTCTGTTCTATCCGGTGTTTTCAATTGTACCAGATGGATCAAGATGCCATATTTCTTAAAGCTTTCGACCAAGGGTAGCTCCAGTTCCCTTTTCGTATCAGGTGGACATCCTTCATGTGGATGTGATTCCCAGGCACGGTGTGTCCCTGGTGCCATCTACCCGACCTGGTAAACGTTAACAAAAAACTATGGAAAATCACCATTTTTAATGGGAAAAACATGGGAAAACCATGGGAAAAAGGTGATTTATATGGAAAACTACCATTTTTAATGGGAACACTTACTATTTCTATGGCCATTTTCAATAGCTATGTGACGGCGCTGACAGGCAGTTTTCCCTGGTGGTTGGTCTCTCTGATCTAGCGACGAACTTTCTGGAGATTGATCGCGAGGCCCGAGGGAAATATCAGGATTGCCATTGCAGAGTTTGTGTTAAGCATGACATATATATATATATATGTATATGTACATATGTATGTATATATAATATATGTATATATGTATATATGAATGTATATACATACGTACATACGTATATATGTATATATGTATACGCGTATACATGTATACTGATGTATACATGTACATAAGTATACATGTGTACATGTACATGCACATGCACATGTACATGTATATGTACATGTGTACATGTATATGTATATGTGTACATGGGTACATGTGTACATGTGTACATATGTACATATGTACATGTGTACATGTGTACGTGTATGTGTGTGTATGTGTATGTGAGTATATATATCTCTAGATGTGTTATTTGCGTATATCTCTATATCTGTATATCTGTATACTTGTACATCTGTACATATATATATGTGATTTTCCTCTGATTAAAGATGGCTTGCACGTTAGCAGCTTAACAATGGTCCCAGATGTCGGAACAACAGGCACGCAAGATGTATTTCAGCCTTGAACACTGGCCCAAATCAGCTCATTTGCTACTGCTGGTGTTGTCTACATTGTTTCTCTGCAGTATGTATACGTGTGTATATATATATATATGTATATATATATATACACGTATACATGTTATGAATGATTAGGAAGTTGTCGCAAAACTCTCCCGAGCTTAAGTGTCTAAAACTATACTTAAACATAGTTGATGCAAAGAAGGATGTGCCGTTTGTTGATTCTTACTTCTTATCCAGTTCCAGCCATGGCCGACGGTGACCATGGCTACCCGAAGCCGGAGCAGATGGAGTCACGACTGGTGGTCCTTCTGTGTGGAATTCCAGGGTGCGGAAAGGATGTCATCGGCCGAAGATGCGCCAGCTCTTTGAATGGTGCCGCACTCTCCCAGGATGAACACAATGGCAATGCTGTGGCGACCCAAGCAGCCTTGGAGTCCCTGCTGGCTCAAGGACTTTCGCCCATCTTCATTCTGCGGAACGGCGTGGAAGTGGGCGACCGGTTGCCCTACGTCGTGGCGGCGCGACGCGCTGGATATCGAGTCACAGCTGTTTGGCCGGAGGAGCTTAGCACAACATCCAGGAGGGCTGCATTATTTTTGGCCAGTCTGGCAGGTTGCTATGGTCGTCTGACTTCTGGAGGCCGAAGTGGCCATGAAACTCTGACCATAACTGATGGACAGCTGGCAAAACCTGCCCAGGTCTGTTTGAACTTTCTACAGATGTTTCGGGCACCGTCGGCACCAGGAGAAGTAGATGCAGTTCTGACCTTGCCATTTCTGCAATCAGATGAATTAGACCTTGGAGATCTTGGGGACCTGAAGTTGTCTGGTTTTGGAAAGGGAAAGGTGCTACCAGAAGTGGTGCAGGAGGTGTTCGAAGGTGACTTTGAGAAGGCGAAGGAGAAGATGATGCGCTGGGGGACCATGCGTCGGTCCGTGCAAGACATTGCTGATCCGCTTACTGAATGGGCGAAGCAGCAGATGTCACAGAAACCATCAGCCAGCACCTTTTCCATGCCTTCAACGGACACGAAAAAGCTGCAACGCGCGGCAAAGATTCGCGCAGCCGTCGAACATCTGGTGTCACCCTACAACCTGTCAGCATGCAGAGATGGTGGATTGTTTGACAGCCCTCTTGTTCGGAGTAATGGGGCCAATGGTAAGTTTTCACCGTTCAAGGTCACTAAAGGGCCCCATTCATCGATAAAAGTGAGCGGAACACTGGCCAGTTTCTCTGTGTCCATGTGACTCCGTAGGAATACCCTTTTTCGCTGAATGCCATAATAGGGACCAGTGTCCCATACCCACCGATTGGTTGGTTGTTTACTAGGAAGTCCAAGACAATATAGAAACATTTGGAAGTGTTCAGACTGCTCAAGGCGCTGCATGCCTTTAGGTTTGCGGTCAGTTTGTACAATTTGCATGCTTCCAGCATTCTCTGTCAAATATCGGACCGATTCTGGTCCAAAGAGCTTCTGAAGATGCAGAATTACAAGGTAAACCACAAAAAAGAGCATACTTCGCTGACCTGTCAGCCCAAGCAATCCATTTAGGTAACCTGCATAAGTAAGATCTTGACAGGGAGATCCTGCAACAACAATCCACTTGATTGTAGGATACATTGCCTTGGCTTGACGAAGGATCAGAGTCACGGGCAACTAGATCCCATACATCTTTAACGTAGATGGTAGCAACCCCTTCAATCGTATATGCCCACTGTTGGTCTTCACGCAGTCCTATTTCGGCAGCAACAAGCCGACGTAAGACAGGGTCAATTTCTGCTGCGATGAAGATAGTAGGGGGTTTACCTAGTTTTTTCTTAATGATGTGATAGACCGATCCGACTCCATCAAACATCGAGATAACACCAACGTTGGCCAGCGTTGCACGTGCGATAATCCTAGGTAATCCTTCAGGGTCAATCTCTTCAACTACATTCTCATTCTTACTATCTTTAGGGGGTCCATATCTGGTCACCTTCGCCCTTTTCTTGCTCGACTTGGTTTTCGCATTGTTCTTGCATGAGGGGGGAGAGAGCTGCGAGGTTCGCGTTCTTTTCTGCTTCCGAGGCGTTTTGAGAAAGCCTTTGACAACCTTTAACTGTCTTTTGCGATACTGCGCAACTTCACCTCCTCCTGCTGCTTCAGAAAGTTGCTTTGTCATTAGGATTGCTTTGGGTGACTTAACTGGCAGTATGACAAGCCCACTGATGAGGAGCTTCCCGCTGACATGCTTACAGTCCGCAACTCGTATACCATTGTTATGGTCGTACATACTTATCATTCCAGGCTGACTAGTATGCAGGACTATGAGCTGGCTGTCAAAGTCAAGCCTAGTGGTGGCTATGAGACACTGGATTTCGTACTCTCTTTCTTGGAACATGAATTTGTGCCCAAGTGGGAGTCGTTCTTCCTCGAGCTTCGGAAGGGAGCATCCTGGAGGTACTTTGATTCGAACGATAATCAAGGGGCCAAATTTGCCGCATTTCCACTTGGCATTGGCAGTGTCTAGACATGAACAAGCTTGACACTCTGTCAATTCATTAGTATTCCAGATTGGAACTAACAAGTCACAAAGTTCATCTATACCTGTATTAGGCTTGACTGTGGCAGTGAAGGTGTCAATTGGTATTGCGCTAGACTGTAAGCACACCTGACATTGTAATACAAATCTTGAGAAAAGAAAATTACGAGTACTCTGACTAAGGTTTGCGCAAATGATTGGGTAGAGTTCATATACTGCATCGTTTTGTGCAGTGCCGTTAGGGGGAATGGTGCTGAGTGTCGCAAGGGACAGGCAGGCATCAAAACATGTAAAGGGAAAAACCGTAGGTACTTGATGGACCCAACTCCATCCTACCCCTACTGCTGCAAGGGCTGCCTGTCGCACATGAATACTAACATGTGTTGGGATCCACGGCCCTCTTGATAAGAGGTACAATGCAGTATTCATGCTAGATATGTGACCACAGTTAATCGCAATGTCTTGGGCTTTATTAGCTAAGGCCGCAATAACGGGAGCATCAAGGGTCGGGAACCATTTGCGGCTGGATTCAGCAAAAGGAGAGAGAGAGGCAAACTGAGCTGGTTGGGACTGACTTTGAGTTTCACGTTCAAAGGATGTCTGGGCGAGGTCATTTTGCTTAGTATGGTCATCTTCCCCAGTGATATCAATGCACACACGCGTTTTGTCGTTGGCCGGGAGGGCAGAACTGCGTTTAAGGGCAGCCTGGATAGGGGGAAGTGCTTCTCCTTGATGTAAGGAGGAGGCCTGGGAAGACTTGGTCCTTGTGGGGGTTGCAATGCCAGGGGGATCTTCACCGATTTCTACGACAATAGAGTCATCAGGTAACAATGGCTGTTTTTCTGGCGAGGGATCATTTCTAATAGGGGCCTTAGAGGCAAGATCTGGAGGCTGACATTGACTTGAAAGTGTAGGTACAATGGGGTCACTGCACTCAGGTTTCGCATTGTCATTTGGTGAGGAAGGGGAGACACCAGGTGGGGAGGACGGAGTGACAACAGGGTCAGAAGGTTCATTAGACAGTCTGCCTTTGCTTGCAAGCCCACCTTTCACTTCACCACAAGTAAGTTTGGGCTCTTGGATGCTAGTTTTCTGACTGCTAAGAGCTTCTCCTTCACGTGTAGGGGGTTTCTTGACGGGGGTGGAGAGAAGTGCCGGTTGGGGAGGGAGCATCTCCTTATCTTCCTCCTCGCTTTTGCGTATATTATTTCCGTGATGGTCTTGATCAACAACCATTTCAGTAATCTGTTGCTCACCGGTGTCAGTTGGGTGACTAGCAGGTAGGTTGGTCCATGGGATGGTTGGGCTGACAGTAGGGGGGTCAGTGCGTGCATCCCCATGGGTTAATTGCCCTTCTGGAACGTTACCAGCACGCTGCGCACCATTAAGTTCACCTTGACTGCCTGACCGCTCTGCATTTGACTTCGCAGTGTCATGGACGCTTGCCCCAGCAACAGCCTCAGTGAGGGGGGGACTGTTTTAATACGGATTGACCTGCTGGGAGGGCGGAGTTGGTGGGGGGGTGACGCCTAAAACTGCGTAAGCCGGAAGCTGGTCAATTGCTTTCTTGCTGCTGGGGGGGGCAGACGGGGTCCTAAGCAGTTTGGCACCCTGGTCAGTTCGTTTGTCCTTCATGAGCGGCTGGTGCTGTGTGGAGCTTGTCGAAAGTACCGCGGTGGTTTTCAAATTGGTTCTGTTGTTGTCGAATGTACTAAATTTCCATGCAGCAATGGCTTCAACTTTAGTATCAGCAGTTAGCATGGTACTGAAGTCAAAGTGGGGAGGCACGAGCATAACGAGATAACAAGTTTTGAAGGGGTATATTTGTAAAGCATCGACCTTAGTAAGGTATAATGAGCTTTCGAGGCCATCAACTCGATTGATTTGACATTGCCTTCCTGACGGGATTTCAAACATCATGATTCTAGTAAATTTGGACACTTGCTCAAACCTAAGGAAGTTTTGCTTGCAGAATTCTCCTTTTGCACTGTTCACTGCTTCAAAATGACTAAAATGAGTCAAAAAGATGTCCAGTGTATCTATTACAGGAATAGATTCCAGGAAGAGAATCCACGGGTAGGTCTCTTCAGAATACGTATATGATACCTGTTGAGTCTGCAAGTCAACTGCTGAGTCCTTCAGAAGTCCGAACCGTCGCTTCTGAGAAGCATTCTGGGTGCTGACAGGGGCAATGACAGTGAGTCTGTTTTTGAAGCTTGGATTACACTTTTCACCAATTCTACGCCAATGCTCTCCTTTGGTCTCGTGCCTGGGTGGTTCACCCGGTGCACCAGTTTGTGGCAGTATGTTTCCACAATGCTCTATCGCGCAGATAATATTGTTTCCTCTTTTGTCCTTGACTGAGAAAGAACATGGGAAGTTCTGCTTAACTTCATGAGGGATCCAAAAGGTGAGCATCGCGACATTGGCATTGTCTTCATTAACGATTGTTTGAAATTCAAATTTGGATGCTGAAAACGCATTAATGAGTGCAAGACCGAGCTCTGAGTCAATGACTGCTACTTCATTTTCCAGGAGTGGGATGATGCTACTTTTTGCAATTTGAAGTGGTATAAAGGGCATACTGCCTATTGGTGCATACCTTACTTCAATTCGGTACCGGTTGCTGCCCATGGCAGTCACTTGACTAAGGACAAATTGTGTCGATTGCTGGCGTTGCCCAAAGGGCAAGTACGTTGTTGAACAATGCAATAAATTGCGGAGCACTTCGATTTCCATGCCATCTAGTTTCAGCATTACTTGAGCTTTAGATAGGAAGAAGTACTTAATTCTAAAGGACATGAGCTCCAGCGCAAGTGCATTTCGTTCTTGATCACTTAAGTGCCGAGTGGACATGACAGTGAAAGTAGCAGCCTCCCGCAGTTTATGTAAACGAGTCCAGTCAATGCCTTCTTTAATCTGAAACTGGGTGTCTTGTGCTGTGTTAATTTCTTTCTGTAACGATTCGATTGCTTCACGGATTTTGGTTCTTTGTAAGCAAGAGTTCTTTTCATATTTGATGGTAAGCGGCACGCTTCCTTTTGACTTGTCAGAATTATAGCAGCCATTTGGTGATGTACTAGTCTCGCTGACTCCTGGATATTGCCCTTGTCGTAGTTCTTTGCCAACAAAATTTTCAAAGGCGATACGGGCAGGCATTATCAGCTCATCAGTTATCGTGTCAGGGATTTGCCATTCAATTACGGCTGGACTGCTTGACAGGCTATCCATTTTGACAAGATATAGTACAGTAGGGTATTTTTGATATTTGAGGGTTCCAGTGAGCTGCTTTATTTCTCGAATGGCTGCAATGTGTCTCTGGCAAGTGTCAAAAACTTTTGCTGCTATTTCGACTGGGCCAGTGTTGGCATGACACTCATAGATAAGTATAACAGTCTGTTGCATCGTTGCCAGTGTTTTCATAGCACTTTGAGCCGCTCCAAAAGAGGGAAACGCATAAGCAGTAGTCTCTTGCTTCGCTATCTGTGAATGCAGCTGATCATAAGTGGTCAGAAGTATGCCTTCAGGTGCTTTGATCTTACTCGGAAAATGTACCATGAGAGTGGCATGCAATCCAAGTGCACCGAGATATTCCGCAGCAGCCTGTTGAGCCTCGATGTGTTCAGCCATTCTGGCTTTGTCTTCTCACCAAGAGAAAGGTTGTATGTGAGAGGTGTGTGAGTGGTATGACAAGTAGCTCGAGATAAGATAGGGGAGGGGGAGTACCTGTCGCGTCTTTGGACAGATAAACCCGTAGAGCAGGGGGAGAGAAACGAAACAAGGTAAGAGAGTGTAAAGATTGGAGTCACTTCAATAGGTTCGAAATGGTTCGAAATGGAAGTAACGAGAACCGCTTTAACAAATCAACTTAAAAAAGGGGGGGACGAGGTGTCTCGAAATGCAAAACAGAGGGAGGGTGGGTAGAGGATACAGAGCACCTGTCACGTCTTTGGACAGATACACTGTGTGATCAGAGGCAGCGGTGGAGAGAACAGCGACCTGTCACGTCTTTGGACAGACACACTGTGTGAAATAGAGAGTAGTCCAGAAGAGAAACAGAGGAGACGAGAGGAAACAAACCAAAAAATTCAAGTTAGAAGAGGGACCTTGGTAAAGCGGTGGAGTAGAAGGACAGTGACCTGTCACGTCTTTGGACAGATACACTGTGTGAACTCAAACTGGTAAAAAGAGAGAGAAGAAAGCAATCAGATCAAAAGAGGACCTTGGTAAAGCAGTGCAGTGGAGAGAACAGTGACCTGTCACGTCTTTGGACAGATACACTGTGTTGGCGTTTAATCAGGTAAAAAGGGGGACTTGGTAGAGCAATGCAGTAAAAGTACAGTGACCTGTCACGTCTTTGGACAGAAACACTGTGTGAGTGCAAAAATTCAAGAGGAAAAATGAAAATAGTGAGCCTGTCACGTCTTAGGACAGACTCCCTGTGTGAAAACAAATCGTCTAAAAAAGGGGTGAGTGTAGGTTGCGCAAGGTGCCTGTCACGTCCTTGGACAGACACCCAGGCAACAAAGAAAACCAAACCTTAAGATCTGAAGCTCGATGCCAATCGCAGAGATTTGAGCAAGCAAAAAACAGAAACTAAGGTTCGCACACTTTCTCAACCAGTTGCTCTATATCTAAGGGCCAGGTAACAACTAAAAGAGAGCAACCAACTGAAACACAATCTAACCTTAAAAAAGGGGGTTCCGACAGCACAGGAGGAATCGAGCACAGTAAGTCGCCCCAGCAACAAACTACGCAACAAGTCCCTTACCCCAGGGCTACCTACGCAGTTACCAGTACTCTCCTCTGCAACAGGTGTGCTCGGCTACTGGTAACTTGAACCGAAAACTTGAGCCAAAAGGGTTACGGGTCTTTCTCTTTTATTTGTTGACGTGCACCGTGCTGGAGCATCAAATTCCAAAGACGAAGTCATCCAAATTTCAGTGAAAAATCGGCCATGCAACTGTTGTTGAAAAATAAACATCACATTCTCCACAAACATGCTTTCCAGTCGCTCACATGCAGCAAAAGCGAAAAACCAGTTCCACAAAACTTCACGTCCACAAAGTTGTTGAAATAAAACCAGGTTGAAAAAGGTTTGGAGTTTGTTGTCGAGCATGCACATGCGAAGACAATAAACGACATTCCAAATTGCCATGCAAATGGCAAAAACCATCTTCATCATCTCCACATCAAATTTCGCAACTCTCCAAAAACCAGTTTTCAGCAAATGTTGTTTTGCACAAAAACATCTTCAACCGTTGTTGACACTCGGCAAAAACGTCGTGCAGAATGCAAGCTTCCAGAAAACGTTGAAAACCACATATCATAGTTCAATCCACCGACACCCGAGACAGCGAAATGGAGTAACGAGATCTTGGGATGGTCAACCTACATTGGAGATTTGGTAGCGTGGTCGATGCAAGCATCCCTGGAGTTTGGTTCAGAGATAGAACAGGCGTGCAGGTGGCCGACAGCTCTGCAATGGCAAGAATTAAGTCCTGCACAGAGAGCTAGAAGCAGGAGACTGATGGCAATTCTGAAGGCTGCTTTCAATAGACACCCTCGAACGGTTATTCTAATTAATGCCTACTCAGAAGGGATCAACCTGTTGAGTTCAGATGTGGGAGTAAACTCTGATTTGCAGAGTTCAAATGGGTTTGAATTGATAAGACAACTCACCATGGAATACAGTTTGAGAACCTGCAGTGAAGCATTGAGTTTTCGCACGGCCCTTGCGCAAAGAGTTTCAGTTTGCATGCCAGTGAGACAAGCCCAAGCACTGTTGTGACGGACACCATCCGGAAGATCGACTATGAGAATGCACGCTATGGCAAGCTCTTGGGTACTCTTGCAAGTACAATTGATGCCACTGGGCTGCAAGTTGCAGAGGCAGACTTAGTTGCAGTGTTGTTGAGGTCACTGCCTGAAAGTGTCAGAACGTTTTGTCTGCATCACAGTGGGGAAACGTGCCAGAGTTTTAGGGCTGCAGCGTTGAGATGGGAACAGCAACAAAGGGCTTTTGCAGAATTCCAACCCAAGAAACAGTTGTACCAGCTGGGGAATGAGTCTGAAGGTGCAGCGGAGAACTAGCGATGGTAATGGGGATTGGAATTTGGATGCAGTAGGAAACTCAGGGCATAGGTGCACGAAATGCGGGAGTAGGAAGCATGGTGCAAGCATGTGTGATGCTGATTTGACAAACGTGCGTTGTTTCAAGTGCCAGAAATTTGGTCACATCTCGGCCAACTGCCCAGACAAGAGTGTAAAGGGCAAGGGCGACGGGAAAGGGGTGATCAAAGGCAAAGGAAAGAGCAAAGGCAAGGCAAAAGGTAAAGGTTTTGGAAAGAAAGGAAAAATGAATGAACTCGGTTATGCAGAGGAAACCGATGGAATGGACAAGTGGTATCAAGATGATGGGTCATGGTGGAGTGACCAAACGTGGCTGCAAGCGTCACAGGTGTGGAATGAAACCTGGAGTGACTGGAATGAGGGTTGGACAGCTGACTGGACTGATGGACAATGGACAGAGGATTGGACCTGGACTGGTCAAGAACCTCCGCAAGAGTATGCAAGCAGAGTCAGCGACCCGAGAACAGTGAAATTCAGTCATTGGTTTTGAGTCCCTTAATTGGAAGAATTTTTGGAGAAATTTCCACCGGTTTAGTTTTGCAAGAAGCAATGGATGAGCTTGGCAGCAGTAACAGTCATAGCTCTTGGGGAGACAGTGTTTGTGTTGTTTCTGCAAGTGGTTTATCATGTCCTTTTAATGTAGGGCCACCTATATGCCAATGTGACAACTGTGAGTTTCAGGATTGGCAATTAGGAAGAGCGATGGACAGACACCAACAAATGTTGCAGAAAATGACACATCTTTTCGAGAGTTTGCCACCGTTTTCAGAAATTTTGCCTGCACAGTTTTTTGATGATCCAGAACTCGTTTTTGCTGAAACAGATGCATGTTCAGTTGTTTTTGATCAACCTGGGAATTTGGGAGATGAAATTGATTTTAGCAGTAGTGATGAAGACAGTGATGAACGCCACTGTTTGTGGGATCTCAACTTTGGCTGGTTTGGTTGTGGTGCAGGAACTGAGGACTCAGGATTCCTCTGCGGACTTCTTCAACAAGAATCCAGTTGCACGACACCTCCAAATCTGCATGAACCGTGGTTTTTGGGTTTGCAAGGCGAAGGTTCCACAGGTGATGCTGCAGAGTTTTCCCAAGGGTTGGTTTCCGATGTCAACAGCAGAGTTGTTTTAAACAGAACTGCAACTTCAACGTTTTTGAATGTGCATGACACTGTTTCAGTTTCGCATGAACTTCGTAGGTACATGCCAGTTTTGGATCCACTTTTGCAGAATTCTGGAGAATGATGGACAGTCAGAGTTTTGGTGGTTGCTGGATTCAGGTGCATCTGCAACTGTCATGGCAACTTCTTCCGTGAATGCATATGGTGCATGGGTAGCTGACATGAAACATGAGCAATTTCGTGCTGCCAATGGAAGTAAGGTTGACATCGACGGTACTGCAACAATCACTGTTTGGGTTGGTTTTCGCACTGGTAGGGACAAGGATTGGATACCTGACTACAAATCTGCCAAGTTGAAATGTTTGGTAGGTGGAATTAGTCACAACATCATGTCTACGACGACGTTGTGTGAATGTGGTTGGGAATTCAATCAAGGACCTGATGGGTTTCATGTCAAAGATGTGAAAACTGGTAGGATAGTTGAGGGTTGCATTTACTATGCAGGGTGCCCATGGATCAAATTAGAACCAGCATGGTCTTCGGAATCCCAATTGACTGTTTCCAAGGGTTTGGAACCTCCTCATCCTATTCCAGAAGTTTTTGCTGCAAGTAGCAACAGTTTGAATCCACTTTCACGTGCGGCTGCATCTGACTTAGAGCGACATCGTCTTCAAGGACACGTTCCGTATGACCCAAGATGCACGATCTGTGCACGTGGGAAATCTACTTTTCACCACAGAAGGAGAAAGGAGGGTTCGTTGGAGACTGAGATCCAAGCGGACTTTGCATTCTTAACAACACGTGGAGAAGTAGTTGACGAGGAGTCAGAGAATACCATCAAAATCTTAGTCCTTACGGAATTAGCTACTAACTGCATTGGATTCGTAGTTGCAACAGCTACTGATGCAAGGAAGGTCAAAGGCCAGGTCTGCAAATGGTTTGACCACTTTGGGTTATCATCTTCAACAAGTTCGGTTGTGTTGCACACGGATGCAGAAAGAGCGGTTTCGGAATTAGTAGGGACAAGTTCGGAGAAGTACACATTCATGGTGCGTCGTGCACGCCCTCAACAGCACCAATCCAATGGTGGAGCCGAGCGAGCAGTCAGAAGGTTGAAGGAGTCGTTGGCTGTTCTTCGAGCTGAGATGAACGATGGTGGTGCTGATGTGAACTTTTCTGCACGTGGTTTGTCAGATGTTTGCACGTATATTGCATTGAGTCACAATCATTTTTCAAATGCACATGGGTCAGATTTTTCACCTCTTGAATACTCAACGCAACGGAAGTTATCAAAACCAAGTTTTGCAATGTTCGGTTCAACAGTGTTAGCTGAGTTGCCAGACAGTCTTCGTGCACAGTCACCAAACGAAACGAGAAGCATTGAAGCATGTTTTGTGCATTCAGGTTTAGACACAGGTCCTGTTGTTCAGGGTGCATTGCGAATTGATGGAGAGTTGGTTTTGAAACGTTTTGTTGCACGGAATGTGAGACCAATCACACCCATTGCATGGAAACACATGATAGGTGACCAGTTGTTTGTGGAAGTTGAAGGTGCGGATGTTCAAGTTGCGGAGAGTCAAGATGTGCATATGCAAGCGCCTCCAAACGCGCCCCCAGCAGCAATTGCACCAACACCTGCACGTTCAGTAGGTGATAGGCCCCCACTTGAACCACCGCGACAACCGCGCGATGCACGCGATGACATCGTTGAATACCCAGATGGAGCTCCCAGTGAACTTGTTAGGGAAATGAAGGAACCTGACAACACTAGGAGGCCAATGCCAAAGAAGCGACCAAGTGAAACTCCTGTGCCAAAACGTTCCACTGGTATCAAAATTGCCCATCAACCACCTTTGACAACACCGGCAACAGCGAAAGCAGAACCAAAGACACCCGCTGTTGTGTCTAAGTCACCCTCAGTTGTCCCAACATCGCCTGCAACTTCACCAGCAGACTCTGTACCTGAAGTTAGAGTTTTTCCCAAAACACCAAGATGCCCAGCATGTGACTCTGGAATGGTAGCCCCTGGAATTGCGGCATTTGATGCTGAGAATTCACCAAGTGTTGCAGTGGGTAGTCCAGAGAGTGTTGAGGTGAGTAGGGAAAGGTTGCAAGTGCATTTTGAGGATATGGAGGTTGATACTGAGCGAGACCCAGCTCCGGCTGGCGGTACAACAGAAGGTCAGGTTGAGATGGATGTGGAAGAGACTGGAGGAACTAAAAGAGAAGCTGAGCAACCGGTAGAAGAATTAGAAGCTGAGATGGAGCGTGAGAGAGCTTCCGGGCAACCCATGACTCTTGATTTGCTTTTAATGGATGATGCATGCCAATCAGTAGGACCAGTTTTGTGGAGCCTGGAAGCTGGACCAGAACGGGCAGTAGCAACAAGCCCCGAGTTGTTTGACGATGAGTTGAATTCAATCAAGTTCATGCCAGAACGTGACCATACTTGCGTGAAGGTGAAGCTAGGTGGTACCAATGTTTTGGTGTGGAAGCCCGATGAGGTGATTGATGACAGCTCGTTAATGCAACTTAATGCTGATTTAGGCTTTGAAGGCATGAAGGAAGAGATTGCTAATTTGGAGAAATGTGGAGCAGGAAAGGTGATAGGCCAAGCGGAGGTTGATGCATTGAAGAAAAAGAATCCAAACATGCGTGTGATCCCAAGCCGTTGGGTGTCAGCGTACAAGCGTGAGACAAGGGTCAGAGTTAGGATCGTAGCCAAAGATATCAACAAAGGTGTCTCTGCACGAAAATTAGGAATTTCTAGCCCCACTCCGAGCATTGAGGGCTTGCATTTCGTGTTGTCACTGGCTTCGAGACGAGCTCTACGACTTAAAGGCCTTGATGTCTCACACGCATTCATGCATTCTCCTCTACCTCGTGGTCTTGTCATCGTCCTCAAGCTACCGTTATCTGTCTCTATGATAGATGGTTCTCCTGCATATCTCTTGCTCTACAAGGCGCTGAACGGTCTTCGAGATGCGTCACTGCATTGGTTGAATTTGCTCAGTGACTCCATTCGAGGAGTTGGCCTTGTTTCGGATGAAGTTGAACCTTGCATTTACCAGGGTATTGTGCATGGAGAAACTGCATTGTTGGTAGCCTATGTTGATGATCTTCTTCTTTGTTGTCAAACTGCACGTAGTGAGAAGCTGGTTGAGAAAGCAATTGGGAAAGCAGTCCCGTTGAAAGAGACTGGCGTGATCCTACCCGCCGAGCAAGGTGGAGGTGCACTGACTTTTATTGGGAGAAGAATTCAACGAGGAGCAACGGATGATTCATTGTCAATTGGTGTTGACCCGAAGTTTCTGGACACAACTTTTGTGGAATTCAGTGTGAACAAGGGATCCAACACCGTGCCTGATGTTGCGGCAGTGCTTGAGAGAGCCTTGACGGACAAAAGCATGCAACAGCCTCTCACGGCTGCAGCGTACTCAAGGTTTCGGAGGGCACTTGGGAAGCTGCTATGGATGGCACAGTCACGGCATGATCTGAAATTGTTTCTTAGCCTGATAGGCTCACAGCAAGCTGCTCCTACGCATGGTACTGAAATGGCAATCAAAGCTTTGCTACGTTTTTTGCATGGAGATGTGGGAACTTGTCTGCGGCTTCCATCGCCAAAGTATGAGGAACTTATGATTGGAGCTGCACGACATTGCATTCTGCATTCTTTTTCAGATGCTTCCTTTGCACCATATAGATTCAATGGCAGAAAGGGGATTACAGGTGGTGTGGTTTTCTGCGAAGGTGGACTTGTGCGATCTATTGCACGCCAGCAACAGTCAGTTTCACTTTCGTCTTGCGAAGCCGAGCTCTATGCACTGCAAGCTGTATCTCAAGAAAGTGTGGCTTTCAGCCAATTCTGTCAGAGGGTCTATGTTGGTTTGGGAGAGATGCAACCGAAGAGTGTGCCAAAGATTTTGCTCGAATCTGACAGCTCTTCTGCATTGCAATTGCTTGTTGGCCAGGATATTCCTAAGAGGAGCAGGCATGTGGAGATTCGTTTGGCATGGATGAAATCCAAAATGGCTTCTGGAGAACTCGAGATCGAGCACCGAGCAGGGACTGAGAATGTGGCTGACCTGTTTACCAAGTGCTTGAGCACGAAGGACTTCTTACGTCATCGTGCAAGCTTGGGTTTTGAGGCTGTGGAGGTGCCTGCCAGGGATCTTCGATCAGTCAATGACATGTTGCTCGTCAATGATGTTGTTTCTGGAAAACAAGAGATTGCATTTGTCGAAGTGTGCTGTGGCACAAATTCAGCTCTTCGTGATGCATGTCGAGTTGCTCGAATGCCCTATGTTGGAGTTGTGAAAGAGGTTGAGACCGATGCAATGTTTGCACGAGTG